AAGGAGCATTTGTACCAATTTTGGTGCTTTGGACCAGCGTGTCACAAAAATTTTGCTAAGCCACCGGACTATAATGGCAATTCCCATTTTTGCCAAAAAATTGCCGTGGCTCGAAAGTACGTCGACTGGCGTGCTTCAAAATAGGACGTTTAATATGGGAGCATAGCAGTAACAACTATACCCAATTTCAAACATGTGGGTCAAACGGTTCCTGAGTTATTGTTGACCGTAGCGAAATGTTGACAGACGGACGGACGGACGGACGTACGACGGACGACGACCCATGGCAATAGCTCAGCTTGACGATGTCAAGGTGAGCTAAAAATGCACACAATTCCCAAGGGTGGTGTGAAAAACGGGTTATACGGTTTACCAAGCTTCACCTATCTCATTACATTAATTATCATTCTCCAAAGTATAACCTAGGATTGGCTGAGACCTAAGAGATTGGCTATACTTTGAACGGCACCTGATATAACACGTGGCGCCACAAAAGTCTAACGGCCACTCGCGTAAATTCAAAGTATGACGTCAGGCTTGCATGCATGCAGGCAGGCATGCAGGCAAGTTCGCGTAAACTTCTTGATTTATACAAGTACTAATATAAACCCTATCCAGTCTTCCAAAATTGCACCAAAATGCAAACCGAAAATGCGAACTGTCTCAACTTGTAGCTTAAAGTACAATTCGGTAATACTAGAGTTAAGTTTTCCACTGAAACTAGAAAGGGCAGTTGTCGCCAACTACATGTATCCCCCGTGTTCTCCCCAAGATGTGTAAGTATACGAAGTTTGGTCACGCTAGGTCAATTAAGGGCCGAGTTATAGAGCGGAAGGGAAATATGATGGTCAAGGTGAAGGTCAAGGTCAAATAAAGGTTGCAGTGACCTGGTTTCGGTACGCGACACACCTTCTCCCCAAGATGTGTAAGTATACCAAGTTTGGTCGCGCTAGGTCAATTAGGGGCCCAGTTATAAAGTGGAAGAGAAATATGATCAAGGTCAAGATCAAGGTCAAATAAAAGCCGCAGTGACCTTGTTTTGGTACGCGACACACATTCTCCCCAAGATGTGTAAGTATACCAAGTTTGGTAGCGCTAGGTCAATTAGGGGCCGAGTTATAGAGCGGAAAGGAAATATGATCAAGGTCAAGGTAAAGGTCAAATAAAGGTCGTAGTGACCTGGTTTTGGTAGCGCTAGGTCAATTAGGGGCCGAGTTATAGAGCGGAAAGGAAATATGATCAAGGTCAAGGTAAAGGTCAAATAAAAGTCGCAGTGACCTGGTTTTGGTACTTTGCACACCTTCTCCTCAAGATGTGTAAGTATACCAAGTTTGATCACGCTAGGTCATAGGAGTTATAGAGCGGAAGGAAAATTCTCTGCGGCGGACCGAGCGGCGGCGGCGGCGGCTGGGAGACATGAAACCATAGTATCCCCGCCAACTTCGTCGCGGGGGATACAATTAATACAAACTAGTTCGGCCTATGTCTGATTCATAATTAATGAGGAAATATAGTCAAGAACTTCTCTGTGTAACTTAGTAGTGACCTTTATTTGGCACGTACACGTCACATGATAATCATCACAGCTCTGACCTTTATCCCATATTGCATCCATAGTTTTAGTTTTGAACCAAAACGGAAAATAGATTGGTTTTTAACTCATAGCATATCAACACACACGTACGCACGCACGCACGCACGCACGCACGCACGCACGCACGCACACACACACACATATATTTCACATCAATGCACTGTACTTTAAAAGATTGAGATTTATTGCCATCCTTTCCAGCTTTTCTCAAACGTTGAATGCACTGGGCATTGGTTGGCCTCGGAGCCCAGCAAGTATGTTACGTGCTGTTAGGCTAGACATATCTTCCCGTGTCTGCACTACTGCGCTGCCAATGTGGGGTAGCACCACTGTAACAGTGAACAAATAATCGTGTTACAGCTTTGTGACTTTAACCACATTACTACCCTGTCACATTATACTAGTATGTTAACGCTGAGCACACTGCAAAAGTATCTACAAGAAAAAGAAACAGCTGGCCTGTCTAGTGTATGTGCACACAGTTTACTTTCACATAATCTCCCTAAGAAAGTTAGCAGTAAATAAAATAGGCTCTTTCATATTAGCTGTGAAATGAGACCTAATAAGCTGCATAGAAAGCAAAGCAGCATAGCAGCAAAATCTACTACAAGTCAAAGAACTACCATTCTAGTAGCTATTTTACAGAATAATTTTAAGCCTAGGAATGTCTGTTACGTTCGTGCAATTTACTATTATAACAACTGTAAACTAGAATGCAATGGTGTACATACCACAATTTTTGAGTGTAAGTAGTGGACTATCTATTGGCAACGGTTCTGGATCTGTCACATCTATACCAGCAGCTCCTATGACGCCATCCCGTAGAGCCTCATACAGAGCAGACTGGTCAACCACGGTTCCCCTATTACATCACAGAGCCATAATAAACAGAAAGTCTTCACTGGAGATTTGCACTCAGTTTTCATTGACTTGTAATCGTACATCTTCTTGCGAATTGCTACTGAAATAGTCAGGGAGCACAGTTTTAATTGTCACCTAAAGACAACAAAGTGGTTTCCGAATTAAATCTCAGCTGAAACCTGTACTTCAGCAGCTACTCATTTCAAATACGTGTACCTGCCGTGAACGTACGGGTAACGAAATACTCATGGATTGATGTTTCCACGGCTGTAAGTCAACTGCTGGCGTTCACGAAGACTGCAGCTGTAACTCACCAGCTGGTGTTCACGAAGACTGCAGCTGTAACTCACCGGCTGGTGTTCACGAACACTACAGCTGTAACTCACCAGCTGGTGTTCACGAAGACTGCAACTGTAACTCACCAGCTGGTGTTCACGAACACTGCAGCTGTAACTCACCGGCTGGTGTTCACGAAGACTGCAGCTGTAACTCACCAGCTGGCGTTCACGAACACTGCAGCTGTAACTCACCAGCTGGCGTTCACGAAGACTGCAGCTGTAACTCACCGGCTGGTGTTCACGAACACTGCAGCTGTAACTCACCAGCTGGTGTTCACGAACACTGCAGCTGTAACTCACCGGCTGGTGTTCACGAACACTGCAGCTGTAACTCACCAGCTGGTGTTCACGAAGACTGCAGCTGTAACTCACC